GGAACGCGACGGGCGCCGGCTCCTGTGTGGCGCGCGAGGGGCTTCGCCTGCGGCCCTGGGCCGTCCTGGAAGCCGGCCCGGCCCGGCCTTTCTGTGCTGCTGTTGCCCGGGGCGGCCCCGAGAAACGCTCTAAAGTCGGCGAGGCGGGGAGGGCTTAGCGGCCCAGGCCGGGGCTGGGCAGCCTTTGCCAGGCGTCGGTCGGGAGAGCGCGCAGCCGGGGCCAGAATGAAATCTGCCTTTGCGTTGAATTATACCGAAATAGGCCAGATAGGCTTACTCTCCCACCATCTGCTTAACGGTGTCCTCTTCTCTGTATGTAAGAAATGCAGTTTGGTGTAAGCAGCTCTGGAGGTCTCTCTGGGTCAGACTTGGAGCCCTCAGGGCCCGGGTGGCCCTGGGCTCCCCGGATGATCTGAACGACGGACGGTGTGGCGGAGACCAGGTTCCGCGTCTCTCGCCGGCCCTTAGGACCGTAAGAGCTCCCGGACCCGGTGCGGCCTTTGACCGCGGTTCTCTCTCTGTCAGATTGCTTGCTGCTGCTGGTGTACAAGGAACGGTCTGAACGCCTGCGGGGGCTGAAGGAGCGGAGCAGCGCGACCTTGGAGGACATCTGCGGCCTGGAGCCCGGGCTCTGCTACGAGGGGCTGAATCACACCCTCGCCATCATCTGCTTGACCCAGGTGGTGATGCTGGGCTTTGAGAGTAAGGAAACGATGCACGTCTGGGATGCGCACATCCGCTACTGCTTAGGGGAAGGTAAGGAGGGCTTCGTCATTCAGCTTGCGTGAATCCCAGTTCTTGGGCGGAAGACTTTCAGGTCTGACGTTTCAGCCAGCTTTGAAGAGTCTTTGGACACGAGCAGCGGAACTCGGCAGCCCCCCAGAGCAAGGGGGCCACATCCTTTGGGTTCTGAGGCCCCGAAAGCCCTCTTCTCCCTCGGGCTCTGCTTACTGCCCCGTTCCTTGCCCACCCCACGATCTGTTGTGCCTGGTTCCATATTGTATGATATGGTATTCGTCATATCTTGTAAAACTGCAACTCTCTTTGTTGCTATTAGACAACAACAGGGTTCGCACTTTGCACAAAGTGCTTATCTGGATTCCTTGCCTTGACCCCGTGTTGCGCAAACCAACATATTCTACCAGCCAAGTCAAACATGCTAGAAGAGACGATGCTGATGTCTTGAGCAAATTCTTCATGATCTCTAGGCCTTGCACATATGGGTGGTATCCCTGCAGGGCATTACTCTGGAATCTCCTGGAGTTTAAGGATGCCAGTTGTTGGCACACAGACTCCCAGATACGGTTCCTGGTTCCTCCCTTTCCTTCTCTTCTCTGTGACTGGCAGCCATATCGATTCTGTTCTGTTGCTTTTCAACTTCAAAAATCAAAGGAATGAATGAATATGTTAAAGAAAAATAAGCCATGATCCCTTTAATAAATTCGTTTGTTCTGTTACTTCTTGATACTTAAAAGATACCATTTTGAGGAAACCCTTAAAGTACAGAAAATAATGTTTGTCCCATGACCCACTAAGTCTTTGCATTTTGCATTCCATACGCCAAGCATCTTAAATTTCTGCACCAGGCATTCCAAACTGTTCATCAAGAAAAACTGAATTGTTAGTCTATATGAATATTCTCATAATTTTTATTTTACATGTAAATTTAGGGACTACTCTGAGAGACACTATGCCAAGCGATGAAAAAGCCTTTCAACCTAAACGCGTTTCCTTTTTTCTGGTTACGGTATTCCTCCTTTGATTTTCAGTATCATTAGAATAAGGCTGACAGATGTGAAGATGTTAGTTGACCCAAAGCCAGTGTTTAGATATGTTTGCCAAAGATATTTAAATGAAAAGCTTAATTGCTTGGGTTTCCACCCCCCCGCCCCCCCATAGTTCACAGATTCCACGTTGTGGTAGCGCCTGGAACAAAGCTGGAGCGTGGCCCAGCGACTCTTCACTTCTGCAATGATATCCTTGTGCTGGTGAAAGACATCCCGCCTGTCATTATGGGACAGTGGAAGCTCTCAGACCTTCGGCGCTATGGAGCTGTTCCTAACGGATTTGTCTTTGAAGGAGGAACCCGGTGTGGCTTCTGTGAGTATTCATTCCAGAATTTTTTACTATGAGTCCAGAAAAGCAGTGAACTGAACAGGTGATAGATGCCAGCCTACAAATGTCTTTCTGAATTGCTGGGAACTGCCTGCAAGAAAATGTAACAAACGAGATGGGAAATGGGGGGTGATTATTTCAACTGCCCTAATCCTAAAATGTAACGAAAACTAAATCTTTTAAAAATGTTTTTAAAGCATATGGATTAGCAGTTAAAATTGTTCTTAGGAAAAAAAAAACCCCACAGTTAAAACAAGTAAAGATCTTGCTCATGAACAGTCTTCAAAATTTTTGGGAAACTGGCTGTGATAGAGAGCCCTCCACCTCCTGAGGCAGTTTAGCCCATCTTTGAACAGTTCTTACCATTAGGAAATGTTTCCTAATGTCTGTAATGTAAATCCATTGTTTCCCATCCTGCCTTCTGGAGCAGCTCTGGACAATTCTGCCTGCCTTCTACCTTCACGTAGCTATTGCGTCTCCCGACTGGTCCAGCTCTTGGCCTCTGCCTAAAGCCCAGAGAAATTCCTTTTCCAAGCTTGATTCTCAGAGTCTCTCTAGCAAAAATGTATTAAGAAGAAAGGGAAGAAGTTATAAGAGTGCTGGCAACTGAAGGATTTCTCAGACATAGCCAGTGTGTCCCCAAGGCCATTAAGGCAATATCTTTCTCGTTTTCTTTTTTCCTGCCTTTGTGTGAGCTGCCAGGTCTTTTCACTGATAATGAAGAGGCTTTCTGGTGGCTGTTTATAAGCATCTTCTCAGTCAGACTGCTCTTTTGAAGTCAAGTGACACCATGCCCACTGTTATTTCTGCGGTCAACTAAACTGAATCAAAAAAAGAGATCAGGCTAGTTTGGCACGATCTATTCTTGATAAACCCAGCAGGCTCCTGTTTCTAAACGCTCACAAACTGATTGCTTAATGATCCGTTCCAGAGTTTTGCCCAGGGTTGACATCAGGCTGACCAGCCTCAGGGTCCTCTGTTTTCATCACATGAAAGTAAGAAGGACATTTGCCTTTCTCTGGCTCTAGACCCATCCTTCTTGATTTCTTGGCAGTCATAGAAAGGGGGTCCTGGATGTAACACATGCAAGCAGCTTCAAGACTCTCAGATGCAACTGGGGGCTTAAGCTCATTTCTAGTAACGAGGCTTTTGGTGACCGTCCCTAAGCTTGGTCCGCCCTCCTTGGGGCAGTTGTCCTGCTTGGGCCTGTTTGAGCCCTGTGCCCCTTCGAGAGGTGCTGGAGGGCTCCGCCTTCTCCCTCTTCTCTGCTATTTCCCTGCCGTCTCTTCCCAGCAGCAGACCTGCAGTCCTTTGTCTTCCTTTTTCGACTGATGTAATCCGAAAAGAGCCTCTCGGCTGCTTTTCTAGCTTCTCTTCCTAACCTTAGTTTCTTCTGTGCTTAGCTTCTCTAGCTTTCTCCAGACCTTAGCTGCTGGTTGGTAGACATTCTTAATAATTACACCCATTTCCTGTTTCTTAAATTCTCCATTTTAAGCCTAAGTTTCATAAAAAATTCCTGCGCATCCATAGTAGTTTTCTAAACTGCCCTCCCATTCATTTCTGATTGGGATAGTGTATGATTATATTTCTGGTAGCCTAGTTTTGAGTGGCCTCTACCCCCCTGTGCTTCCCTTGACTTGAAGATCCCTGTGTAAGAAATCCTGCCCGGGCACTCATTAATCTGGTCAAAATTGGCTTTTCTGAATTCTGCACTCCAATTTCTCTTTCTGTGATAACTTGAACCCTGGGATTATGATGTCACTTCCTCCAAAAGTTCCCACGGCCCTCACCAGCTGTTCCTTGTTGGTTATGATGCAATCTGGGATAGCCTCATCTCTTGTTCAGCCTACTGTAAAATGAAACAGTGAGCGAGACTAATGAGGAATTTGGGGTACTTTGCAGTCTTTTCCAACAGATCTCTGTGTAGTTGAAGTCTCCAAACAGGACTCTGGGAGTTGAAGTCCACCCATCTTCAAGCTGCTAAGCTTGAGAAGCACTGGGTTAGACAGAATGAAAAGTTAAAGGATTGGGTTAGTTTTATACTGATGCTGTACGAATCTCTTTTTTATTCCTTTTTATTTTAATCACCATAAAGTACACAGGGTTTTTTTTTAACCAAACATGGGTATATTTTGTGGTTGTGTTGTTTCACCCATTTTTTTTAAGGTTAGGCTGCAGTTCTGCTTTACTACTGTTCCCAAAGCAAGCTAAGCCTGTGTGATTTCAGCAAGCGTTGGCTGGTCTTGCGTGGGGGCATTTATCCTCTGCATTTAATTTGGGGGGTTTACAATTATGTTTTTTTTCTTTTGTGGATTGCTCTATGCCCCCGGATCCTGGGATTGGGACATTATAAATAAATCAGTGAACATGCTCGATTTGTTATATAGCGTATTGTATTCCATATGTGTCAGTTCTGACCGCATACCAATGTAAACGTTTTGGTTTTTTTGCAGGGGCCGGTGTTTTTTTCCTCTCTTGCACGGAAGGAGAAAAGATCAGCTTTCTCTTTGATTGCATTGTTCACGGCATCTCTCCAACGAAAGGCTTGCGTCAAGTTTTAGCAGGTTAAGATAGGGTACCCAGCATGAATGGGGTTGTGAGCAAAGCTGACATGATGAGCATTTAGTTGTTTAGAGGGAGAAGCAGAACCCTGTTGGATAAAAAAAATGCATAGTTAACCAACTCAGTTGCATTAGCGCTAAATGCTATCCGATCTTCTTTTGTAATACACCATTAATCTAGAATCAGCCAGAGCTGGGGTTGGACCTTGGGAGCTCTAGAAGCTACCTCAGTAGCATTCCAGGACTCTCCTTCAACTGTTCATTAGAATTAATTACAGCCTGTCTCAATTATCACTTGATGTATCTCTTCTTGAAGACCCCAGTGCGACTCCTGCCTGCATGGAAGAAAGGGTGGCTTACGAGGCTTCGCAGTTGGAGAAGCGCCTCAGCCTTCTCTCCCACAGCGGCTGCCGTGGCAGTGGAGGTAACCCCCCAGCGCTTCCTTCTTCCTCCCAGGAATTAGCTAGGTTGCTTTACTGCTAATCCAGAGCACTGAACAACTTTGCCACTCTGGATTCTTCAAAGGCTGGTTTGTTCCTGCCGGGCCAATGGGATGGGCGTGGGGGGAATTAGGCAGCGCTTCAGATGTTGGGGTGTCACTGCAGTACCCGTGTCTGCTGTCTGTGCACAGTCTGTGCCAGGCTCAGGGTCTGAAAAGAGGATTCTTTGCCCAACTTCACAAAGGATAGTTATTGAGCCAGGAAAGAGGAGAAGGGGGCAGAAGTGAACTGGGCAAGACTTTCCTGCAAGAGTAGCCATACCGGTAACGAGGACAGCAGAGTCCAGTTGTCCTCCACGGCCAGCTAATCTTTAAAGTGCCACCAGACTTACTAGTGCTTGTTCTCTAGCATGGATGGGAAAGTGTTAAGGTGTGCAGGTAAGTAGAAGCAGAAAGGAGCCAGGGTCCAAAATACGAGTAGCGAATCATGTGTCTTCCTGCTGTATTTCACCGCTAGGAACAGATTGGCACTGCAGGTGACTTAATCCGGGCCTCCCTGGCCTGCCAAACTCTGAACCCTGCCTGACCAGGATGACTGGGGATCCTCTCTGTTTCAAGGAACCTTCTGCTGTTTAATCATTTGTCCATTCCTTCAACCAGGTGACGACCGAAGCTTGTCCAGTGCATCCTCAGACGCCAGCCACTCCGATGCCAGTATTGGGAGCAGGTTGACTCTCTGGCCCGAGCAGTCGTCAGCCGGTACTTCCCAAGAGTCTCGTGGACCGGCTGCAGCGGCAGAGAAGCTGCACTCCAAAGGAGCCCCTGGGACTACCAGGCCGCCCCCGAGACTCCTGCGCTGTAGGCAGCTGCAAGAAATAGGCCGCCAGAGCTCTTCTGACAGCGGGATAGCGACCGGCAGTCACTCCTCTTATTCGGGAAGTTTCTCTTCCTACGCGGGGAGCCTGGACGTTTGCCACAGGGATGAGTTTGGATCCCTGGTGAGCCTCTCGCTGAGTTTCCCTTCCGACTGGAACGTGTGCAGCTGCCTGCCAGGAGAGCCCCAGAGGAGCCCTGGCCCAGAGTACCAGGTTCCCAGCTGGCTCAGACACACCTACGACACGCCCAGAAGTTTGTTTCAGACCTCTGCGAAAGGCACGCTCGCCTCAAGTCCAGATGTCGCGCCAGCCAAAGTCCAGACCAAAGGGGATGCGAAGCAGCCGGCACCGCATCTGGAAGGAGAAGCTGCTTCCAAACAAAGCCAAGAGATGGATTTGCAGGCCACCTTTTCACCGGAGGCTACCAAAGGGCCATTCCCAGAGACGCGTCTGAGGCAGCCGGTCCAGGGGCAGGACTGCAGAGGTCCCGAGGGGGCTCTGTGCGGGGCCGTCTCCAGCAGCTCTTGTGAACTGTGCAGTTCCCCCTCCGAGACGAGGCCGGCTCTCTTCCCATCGTGCCCAGTCTGTGGCGGGATACGGGTAAGTCTTGGCCGAATCTTGCTTTGTGGCATGTTGGGTATCTTGTGAGCAAATAAATTGTTATTTTAATTGGTGTCTACTAATCAGTTGTTATCTGAAAAGTACTAATGTTACATATTGCTACTTGCTCTTTTTATGTAATTTATATTGAGAGTTTTAACAACAGTAATAAAAACTAATACAAATTAAAGGAGAACGGGAAAGGAGAAAGAGGGAGAGATAAAGGAAAAAGCTAAAAGTGCAAAAAAAAAAAAAGGAAAGTAAAGAAAAAAGAAAAGTAGAAAAAATAAGATTGAAAGAAGAGATAGAAAGAAGTGGCTTCTGATCTTCTTCACAGCAGTTTTAAGTACAATTATATTTTAACCTCTCTCTCTCTCTGGTTATATCATGACTCTCTTCTTTGTATTGTCTATCCTGGCTAATCATCAAAACTATAAATGACAACTTCATTTTTTCTTTTTTACGAAAAAAGCCCATAAGGGGTTTCCAGTCACCGATAAATGTAGATCTTGTCTTTTCTCTAGTGTGATATCTACATTTATCGGTGACTGGAAACAAGTCAATTTAGCCATCTCGGCAAGTTCTGTCATCTTCACCAACCATTCTTTCATTGTAGGTCTTGCCAGATCTTTCCATCTTGCTGCAGTTATCATATATAAAAAGTATTCTATGGCTCTTTTCTAGCTGTTTTTCCATGAGTCCCAGGAGGAAAAGTTCTGATTTCAATTGAATATTAATTTTTAAAATCCTCTGAATTTTGTATTGTATTTGAGCCCAAAATTTTCTAGCTTTTTTATATGTCCACCAAGCATGATAAAATGACCCTTCTTGTTGTTCACATTTCCAACATAAATTTAAAGTATTATCTAGTACATTCTAGATAATTTATCTGGTGACATATACCAATGGTACATCATTTTATAAAAATTATCTTTAAGATTATGACATAATGTAAATTTCAGTCCTTTCAGCCACATATTTTTCCATTGTTCCATCAGTATATTATAATCAAAATTTTTAGCCCACTTTATCATACATTCTTTGACCTGTTCTTCTGTTTCAAATTTCAGTAGAAGTTTATACATTTTAGCAATTACATGTTCATTGTTTGTACACAATTCCATTTCAAATTCTGTCTTACATTGTTCAGTACCATGCATTCTTTTATCTACTTTCAATCTTTCTAATAACTATATGTAAGAAGACCATTGACAACTGTCCCTCTGCCATCAGTTGTTCTCTTGGTTTTATTTGATATTCCCCTTGGTAAAATTCTAGTATCTCACGGTATGTTAACCATTTATCTTTGCCTGCTGTTTCTCGTCTGTAAAATGCTTCTTGTGCTGAGAGGCACAAAGGTGTTTTCAGGCACAGCCTGGGTTTGTGCCTGTTCCATATACTCAATATGGCACGTCTAACATTATGATTTTTGAAATTTACATTAATCTTGACTTTATTGTACCAGAATTATCCATGCCGCCCAAATCTCAGGTCGTGTTCTTCTAACTAAGAGTCTTTTATTTCTCAGCAACAGCCATTCTTTCATTCAAACCAAGCAACAAACTGCAGAATACAATTTCAGATCAGGTAGACCCAGTCTTCCTCTTTGCTTCACAGCTTGTAACACTTTATATTTAACTCATGGCTTTTTCCCTTGCCATACAAACTTAGATATATCTTTTTGCCATTGTTTAGATGGTACATCAGTTGTCAAAACAGGTATTGTCTGAAACAAAAACACCAGGCAAGACATTCATTTTTACCACAGAGATTCTCCCCAACAGTGACAATTGTAGTTTCCCCCATCTTAGCATGCCCTTTTTAACCATTCCATGTCTTAACATGTTTATTTTAAAATAACATACAATTCATATTTGTCATAGTGATACCCAAATATTTTGCTTTTTTCTTAATTTTAAAACCAGTTTTTTCCATTAGTTCTGTTTGATCCTCTATTTTCATATTTTTTGTTAACATCTTTGTCTTCTGATTATTAATCTTAAAACCTGCTAACATACCAAATTCTTTTAATTTTCCCATTAATATTTCTATTCCCTTTAATAGATACTCCAAAACCAGCACCAAATCATCACCAAATGCCCTTAGCTTATAAGTTTCTCTTTTAAACTTTACTCCCATAATTCTTTCATCTTGTCTTATGTCTCTGTTCAGTACTTCAGAAACTGAAATAAAAAGGAGCAGAGACAACGGGCATTCTTGTCTTGTCCCTTTTTGTATCTCACAGGGTTTTGTTAGTTCTCCATTAACAATTATTTGTGCTTTCT